TGGCTCTAGTGAGTGCATTTTCTCCTTGGCCCTAGTGAGCCTGTTTTTCTCTCTGGCTTCTCTGAAAATCATTTTTCTCTTTGGCTTCCCTGGAGTCTCTTTTACTTGTGCCTGAACAAGGTCTTCTTGATAATTTGCTGCATTCTGTTCGCCAAACTCTTGAGAATTTTTACATCTATGTTCATTAGGAGATTGGCCTGGGCTTCTCTTTTTGGCTTCATCCTGCTTTGGTTTTGCTATAAGGGTGCTTGCTTCCAGGGATGAATCTAGGAGTACTACCTCCACTTCAGTTTCGTTGACGTTCGAGAAGTCACGGCATTACACCTCCAAATTTCTTGTAGAATTCAGCAGTAGACTCAGGGTCTGGGTTTTTCTTTGTAGGTAAGTTTTTAATATATTTTCAATTTCACTGACTGATACTGGTTTATTTGGAATTCTTGTATCTTCTTTGTTCAGCTTTAGTAATTCGCATGTATCTAAGGAATCTGCCCATTTCATCTGTTTTCCACCTTAGTATAATACAGTTCTTGAAATAGGCTTTTTTTTTTGTAACATGTGTGGGACCTTTGCTCACAGGGAAGTCCCAAGTGTTGTGCCCCTTGTCACGGTGACCTTAGATTCGGAGGTGAGCTCTAAGAGGAGAAAGATCTCTTTTACTCATACCATAGCTTTGAAACTCATTTCTACATGGAACGGTGAATGCCTTCACTAGACTGGCGAATCAGGTCCTGTAGCAGTAAACTGGAGAGAAAGAGCCTTTCGAATTCCGCTGTGCCCGTGACCTGAGGTCCTGCTGAGCCTATTGTGTCAGAGCACTGAGATTCGGGAGGCTGTGTTTCAAATCCCTGTTCCTTCAGCCTTACCACAATTAAATTAAAATAATTAAAAAATAATTTTTTTTTTAATAAAAATAATAAACACAACATAAATACTCAACATTCCTCATTGTTTCTGCCCACATTGATCAGATTTATTTTGAAATTGTAAATATGTAAATAAATAAAATAATTAAAAAATAATTTTTGATACAATAAAAATAATAAACACAACATAAATACTCAACATTCC